GTCACGTTCTCTTGTGTGACTCGGGGAAAAACCGACCTCCACTTCGAGAAAGTGCAACGGAACGGACAACTGAATCGAGTCGCGTTGGATTTACGTCACAGCTAAAATGTTAGCGCAAACATTAAATGGGGAGAATTGTTTTTTCGTTATTTTTAAGTGTGAAGTTGTGTCTGTGTAGAGAAAATGTCTTCTAAAAATTTCGTAGTGACTTTTAGACTTTCTTGGATGTAACAATAGCCGAAATATCGTGATATCGTATCAAAAGAGTCTCACAATAATATCGTGGGCTTGTCACAATATATTGAACCGCAAGATCCTTTGCTTTAATTTAGGGGTGTCAAACTCATTTTGGTCCGGGGGCCGTATCCAACCTACTTTGATCCCAAAGGGGCCGGATCAGAAAACTCATGGCATATAAACCCCAAAAATAACAATAAGTTCAAATATTTGTGCAGAGAAACACAAATTGATGAAGTCTTTTTTTTACAAAATATTATAATTTTATGAACAACCTGAAACTTTAAGAAAAATGTAATTTCAACACAAAGTTTTAACATGAACTTGTGTGTAAATAGGAATAAGTCCATTTTTCTTGGAAAATCCTGCACTCGGCTCCACTTTTCTCATGTTGGACATTTTTCTGATGAGGGTGTCACGGTCAACAGTCAAAACGATCGTCCTTTAAGAGCGTTTGGAAAGAGACAAGTCTTCATTTGTGCTGCTCTGGTGGGAGGGGCCACGTACAGAGACGCTGGGGATGATGCTGTGATAAACACCACAGAAAATTAACAATATTTTAATAGAAAATATAATTAAAATATTTTAGAAGAAAATCAGCCGAGGGCCACATTAAAAGTCTTGGAGGGCCAGATATGTTTGACACCTGTGCTTTAATTCATGGTTTTATAGTAGCAACAGCTTATAAACATTGTGAACTACATATCCCATGATTCATTTCAGCGCAGACAACATCAAGAAATGTGTTTTAACTTAAATTATTGAGATTAAGACGGTAATAATTCACATTAAAATCTTGTCAAGGTATTTTAAAAGCATAAAAAAGTCCTATCTATAATTATATAAGCCTCGCAATAAATATCGTACCATGAGATTTGAATATCGTTACTTCCTTATTTGACAGTAAGTTCTTTTTTCTGAACATGTAATAGAGCTTTTTCACAACGGCCGGAAGTGCCATGATGTAGGGCACACGTAACTCCTGGTTAATGCTTTTCTCGGGGAAAAATATCTGTGTAAATGTGTGTCGTATTCTCCACCAGCTGCATAAATCTGCCCCATCACCAAATCTACAACCAACAAGGTCCACAAAGGATAAACATTCTAACATGAAGAATTTAACCACAACTATCAAGATAAAAAACAAGGAAATGTAAAGGTGAACAACGACGAAAACGACGAGTGAACTACTGAACAAAACTAACGTTATGGTCATAAATAAAACATAAGTAACTTGTTCACTCAGACTGATTCTACAATTTAAATAAAAAAATGATTTCATGATGTGGATAATGGCATAGACAGATTAAATGATCACAGATTACATGTCTAACATTTAAACTGCACAAATCTCTCTATCTATGGTTAAGTTTACACTGAAACGAATCACCATATCGGAAACTATTTGCATCCAGACACGTCATTTCTGTGTCCGTAAGTCTTCCCTATCCACACAGCTTTGAGCACATTTGTTTACGTTTTACAGAAACTAAACTTAAAACCACATGGCTCATTTGCATAAACTAAGTGCTCAAAAAAACAGCTCACTATTGTGCGCTGATGTGGTTCATCTTCTGTCGGACTAAAGGGTCGTTCACACCAAAGCGTCAAAGCGTCCAGTTTCAATGTAAAGTCTATGTGGACGCGCGACTAGAGCGTCCTGCGTTTTTGCGGCGCATCTTCAGCGTCAGCGCGGCGCGAATCTGGCGTCGACGCTGCGCGTCTTGAGCGTTTTGGCGTCAGCGGCCAAGACGTGCGTCCAAAGCGTCAGCGTCAAGAAGTTGAAAATGCTGAACTTTTTGCGTCAGACGCACCGCGTCAACCAATCAGGGACGAGTATCCAGAGACGCAGCGACGTTATTATCAGGAAGCAAGACCCGAGAACCAGAACGAGAACCACAAACATGAGCGGAGAATAAATATATACACCACAATCACCGAGCCGATCGCGAGGACTACACCAGGACCAGACCAGGACTACACCAGGACCAGACCAGGACTAAACAAGGACTAGACCGGGACTAAACAAGGACTAGACCGGGAGTAGACCGAGACCGAGACTAAACAAGGACTAGACCCTGAATAGACCGAGATTAAACCACGACTAGACCGGGACTAGACCGTGATTAGACCAGGACTAGACCGGGACTGATCCAGTGTCATTAGTGGAGTATAAATATATATACGCCCCAGTCGTCGACCCGATCTCCTCCGCTGATGTTTTATGTCATAAAAACACTAAAGTCTCTCAGTCTGGTCTGACATTGTTTCGGGAAAAGACCGGGACCGGGCTCTTGTTTCCAGGGCAACGGACGCGCGTCAAGTATTTTTGTCCCGTTCGTCCACAGCGTCAAAGACGCGCGTCGGGGGCGTCTAAACTCAAATGCAAAGGCGTCCAAATAGAGGCGTCAAGGCGTTTTTTGACGCTTTGGTGTGAACGGCCTTTAAGGACACGACTCAGTGGAATATGAGTGTTCTCTCTGTGACAGAGGGAGGTTCTGCTGATGGTGAGTTTGTGTTTCTATCGCGTTGGAGATGGTTCATATTAAACTTTTCAGAGATTATATGTCATATATTCTAGCCTCTTAGCGTTTTGGCAGTGAATTACGGCGCACAGACCTACATCAGAGTATCAGTGTTTTCAGGAGTCCACACGGTGCCGGATCAGATCTGTACTCAGATGAATTCGTGGGAGCTGGAGGCACCAGATCGTTCCGTCTCTGGAGCTGTTTTCCATCGGATTAGTGTGAACGAACACTGCATCCACAATGAAAACAACTCGAATACATACTAGTGTGAACGGGACCTATGTTAATATCGACATCATGAAATTGATTTTTAATTTAAATTCTATTATTAGTCTGAGTGAACAAGTTACTTATGTTTAATTCATGACCATAACATTAGTTTTGTTCAGTAGTTCTCCTTGTTTTTCTTTTTAGAACTTTAAGAAGCAATCATGTCATGGTAAAACTAACAAGTTGCATGCTAACAGCGCCCTTCCTGATTAAGGGATGAAATACTATCTTATGGAGATGAATGTTCCACAGTATGGCATTAAACCTTTCTACCTTCATGAAAACCAAACTCTCTGTCAGAATACCTGTTTCTCTAAGTATTTTTGAGCCATAAAACTTGAATAAACGTAAAGTAGAGCCGTTTAATGTCACACTGCGGAACATTCCAGGCAGAGCAAATGACATACCGTATCCATAGAAACAAGCAGGTGACAGAGACCCAACCAAAAAGTTACACAGTGCACCTTTAAAACAAATTTCTTTTTACAACTTTCAGAAGCGAGTGTTATTTGTTTCTTTGTTTCTTTGTTTTTTGTCACTGTAAAACTAACAAGTTGCATGCTAACAGCGCACTTCCTGATTGAGGGATGACAAAGTACTTTCTCGTGGAGATGTTAATGCTTCGGAATGTTCCACAGTATGGCATTAAACCTCTCTACCTTCATGAAAACCAAACTCTCAGTCAGAATACCTGTTTCTCTAAGTATTTTTGAGCCATAAAACTTGAATAAACGTAAAGTAGAGCCGTTTAATGTCACACTGCGGAACATTCCAGGCAGAGCAAAGGACATACCGTATCCATAGAAACAAGCAGGTGACCGAGACCCAACCAAAAAGTTACACAGTGCACCTTTAAAACTAATTTCTTTTTACAACTTTCAGAAGCGAGTGTTATGTGTTTCTTTGTTTCTTTGTTTTTTGTCACTGTAAAACTAACAAGTTGCATGCTAACAGCGCACTTCCTGATTGAGGGATGACAAAGTACTTTCTCGTGGAGATGTTAATGCTTCGGAATGTTCCACAGTATGGCATTAAACCTCTCTACCTTCATGAAAACCAAACTCTCTGTCAGAATACCTGTTTCTCTAAGTATTTTTGAGCCATAAAACTTGAATAAACGTAAAGTAGAGCCGTTTAATGTCACACTGCGGAACATTCCAGGCAGAGCAAATGACATACCGTATCCATAGAAACAAGCAGGTGACGGAGACCCAACCAAAAAGTTACACAGTGCACCTTTAAAACAAATTTCTTTTTACAACTTTCAGAAGCGAGAGTGTTATTTGTTTCTTTGTTTTTTGTCACTGTAAAACTAACAAGTTGCATGCTAACAGCGCACTTCCTGATTGAGGGATGACAAAGTACTTTCTCGTGGAGATGTTAATGCTTCGGAATGTTCCACAGTATGGCATTAAACCTTTCTACCTTCATGAAAACCAAACTCTCAGTCAGAATACCTGTTTCTCTATTAACTATTTTTGAGCCATAAAACTTGAATAAACGTAAAGTAGAGCCGTTTAATGCCACACTGCGGAACATTCCAGGCAGAGCAAAGGACATACCGTATCCATAGAAACAAGCAGGTGACCGAGACCCAACCAAAAAGTTACACAGTGCACCTTTAAAACAAATTTCTTTTTACAACTTTCAGAAGCGAGTGTTATGTGTTTCTTTGTTTCTTTGTTTTTTGTCACTGTAAAACTAACAAGTTGCATGCTAACAGCGCACTTCCTGACATACCGTATCCATACCGTATCCATAGAAACAAGCAGGTGACCGAGACCCAACCAAAACGTTACACAGTGCAGCTTTAGGACAAAATGACGAGTCTCACTGCGGCAATTAAGAATTTTTTGGGGCAATATCTCAATGTAAAGTGAACGGGAGCCAGAGTCGATGGACCCCGAAGCGCCCCCATGCTCACGTTTACGTTTCGGAAGCGTAAACCGGAGCCGGCGTTCGTACCTGCACCTCCACGCCGTAGCCCGTGTAAACCGTGATGACGTAGGAGCAGTCCGCAGTGGAGAGGAAGGAGGAGCCGGACTCGGGAGGAGCCTGGATGAAGCCCTCGGGTCCGGTCAGGTTCAACTGGCACGAAACTGAAACACAAACACAGACAAAGAACAACCTGAAACACAGAGAACAGACAAACTCCACACACAAAGATGAAAATTACAGCCTTTTTTTTTTGTATTTTTCCATTTTTGTGGTTACTAGGAGGCGACATGAACCCATTTTGTATCATTCTTTCTTTGTTGTTGTTTTTTGTCAATGTTTTTCACTTCATAATCACTTTCTCTCTCTCTTTTCCCCTCCTTTTCTCTTCTCTTTCTCCCTCCCACGCTCTTCTCTCTCTCCCTTTCTCCCTCTCTCTTTCTCTCTATTCTCTCCCTCGCTCCTCCATGCATCTCTCTCTCTCCGTCTCTTTCCCCTTCTTCTTTCGACGCTCCTATTATCCTTCCTCTCACCATCTCTTCTCCCTCTCTCTTTCTCTCTGCGTCTTCCACTCCTCCCTTTCTCTCTCTCTTTTCTCTCTCTGCCTCTTCCTCTCCTCCCTCTCTCTCTCTTTTCTCTCTCTGCCTCTTCCACTCCTCCCTCTCTCTTTCTCTCTGCATCTTCCACTCCTCCTCTCCTCTCTCTCTCTTTCTCTCTCTCTGCTCTTCCACTCCTCCCTTTCTCTTTCTCTCTCTCTTGCCTCTTTCCACTCTCCCTCTCTCCTCTCTCTCTCTGCCTCTTCCACTCCTCCCTCTCTCTCTCTTTTCTCTCTCTGCTTCTTCCACTCCTCCCTCTCTCTTTCTCTCTCTCTCTCTGCCTCTTCCACTCCTCCCTTCTCTTTCTCTCTCTCTCTCTTCCCACTCCTCCCTTTTCTCTTTCTCTCTCTCTGCTTCTTCCACTCTCCCTCTCTCTCTTCTCTCTCTCTCCTCTCCCTCTCCCTCTCTCTCTTCTCTCTCTCTGCCTCTTCCACTCCTCTCCTCTCTCTCTCTTCTCTCTCTGCTCTTCCACTCCTCCCTCTCTCTCTCTTTCTCTCTCTCTGCCTCTTCCACTCCTCCCTTCTCTCTTCTCTCTCTCTCTGCCTCTTCCACTCCTCCCTTTCTCTCTCTCTCTCTCTCTGCCTCTTCCACTCCTCCCTCTCTCTCTCTCTCTCTCTGCCTCTTCCACTCCTCCCTCTCTCTCTCTTTCTCTCTCTGCTTCTTCCACTCCTCCCTCTCTCTTCTCTCTCTCTGCCTCTTCCACTCCTCCCTCTCTCTCTTTCTCTCTCTCTGCCTCTTCCACTCCTCCCTTCTCTCTTTCTCTCTCTCTGCTTCTTCCACTCCTCCCCTCTCTCTCTTTCTTCTCTCTCTGCCTCTTCCACTCCTCCCTCTCTCTTTCTCTCTCTCTCTGCCTCTTCCACTCCTCCCTCTCTCTCTCTCTTTCTCTCTGCGTCTTCCACTCCTCCCTCTCTCTCTCTTTTCTCTCTCTGCCTCTTCCACTCCTCCCTCTCTCTCTCTCTTTCTCTCTGCCTCTTCCACTCCTCCCTCTCTCTTTTCTCTCTCTCTGCCTCTTCCACTCCTCCCTCTCTCTTTCTCTCTCTCTCTGCTTCTTCCACTCCTCCCTCTCTCTCTCTTTTCTCTCTCTCTGCCTCTTCCACTCCTCCCTCTCTCTTCTCTCTCTCTGCCTCTTCCACTCCTCCCTCTCTCTCTCTTTTCTCTCTCTGCTCTCTCCACTCCTCCCTCTCTCTCTCTTTCTCTCTGCTCTTCCACTCCTCCCTCTCTCTCTCTTTCTCTCTCTCTGCCTCTTCCACTCCTCCCTCTCTCTTTCTCTCTCTCTGCCTCTTCCACTCCTCCCTCTCTCTTTCTCTCTCTCTCTCTTGCCTCTTCCACTCCTCCCTCTCTCTCTCTTTTCTCTCTCTGCCTCTTCCACTCCTCCCTTCTCTCTTTCTCTCTCTCTGCCTCTTCCACTCCTCCCTCTCTCTCTTCTCTCTCTCTGCCTCTTCCACTCCTCCCTCTCTCTTTCTCTCTCTCTCTGCCTCTTCCACTCCTCCCTCTCTCTCTTTCTCTCTCTCTGCCTCTTCCACTCCTCCCTCTCTCTTTCTCTCTGCCTCTTTCCTCTTCTCCCTCTCTCCTCCCTCTCTCTTTCCCCTGTTACTGTCTCTCTCTCCCTCTCTCCTCCGTCTCTTTTCCTCTCCTCCCTCTCCGGCTCTCTCTCTCTCGCTGTCCTCCCTCTCTTTTCCTCACTGACACCTCTCCCGCTCTTCTCCCTCTCTCCTCTGTCTCTTCCTTTCTTCCCTCTTTCCTAGGTCTCTTTTCCTCTCCTCCCTCTCAGACTCTCTCTCTCCTCTCTTTCCCCTGTTACTGTGTCTCTCTCTCTCTTATTCTCCTCTCCTCTCTTTTCCTCTGTTACTGTCTCTCTCTCTCTCTCCTCCTCTCCTCTCTTTTCGCCGTTCCTCTCTCTCTCCACTCCCTCTCTTTTCCTCTCGTCTTTTTCCCCCATTGCCATCTCTCCCTCTCTCCTCTCTCTCTCCTCCTCGCTCTCTCTTTTCCTCCATCTCTTTCCCCTGTTGCTGTGTCTTTCTCTCTCCTCCTCCTTCTCTTTTCCTCTCCACTCTTTTCCCTGTTGCCGTCGCTCTCTCTCTCTTTTTTCCTCCCTCTCTCCTCCTCTCTTTTCCTCACCTCTTTCCTCTGTTGCCCTGTCTCTCTCTCTCTCTCTCTCCATCCCTCTCCTCTTTTCCTCTCGTCTTTCCCCTGTTGCTGTCTCTCTCCCTCTCTCCTCCCTCCCTCTCTCTTTTCCCCTCTCTCTTTTCCTCTCCTCTCTGTCTTTTCCCCCTGTTGCCCTGTCTCTCTCTCCTCCCTCCCTCCCTCTCATCCCTCTCTCCTCCATCTCTCTGTCTTTTCCTCTCCTTGTCTTTTCCCCCTGTTGCCCTGTGTCTCTCTCTCCTCCCTCTTTCTCTCATCCCTCTCTCTTTTCCCCTCTCTCTTTTCCTCTCCTCTCGTCTTTTCCCCTGTTGCCCTGTCTCTCTCTCTCCTCCCTCCCTCTCTCCATCCCTCTCTCTCTTTTCCTCTCCTCTCGTCTTTCCCCCTGTTGCCGTCTCTCTCTCTCCTCCCTCCCTCTCTCCATCCCTCTCTCTTTTCCTCTCCTCTCGTCTTTTCCCCCTGTTGCCGTGGTCGCAGCTCTTGATTAAGGCGCAGCGATGCAGAGATGTTGTTTTTGATTTATTGGAGCCCCTCGGCGTCCGGATCGTGAGAAACGCAAATACACGGCATATTAACGGAGGAGTGAAGGAGCGAGGGAGGAGAGGGACGGAGGAGATGAGAGAGAAACTTATAAGAGGGAGAATGAAAGAGAGAAGAGAGAGAGAGGATGATGAAAGAAAGAGAAAAGAGGCAGATGCAAATAGACGTCATGTTAGAGGAGAGGAGAAGGAGAGAGATGGAGAAAGAGAGGATGAAAGAGAGAGAGAGAGAGAGAGAGAGAGAGAGCTCTTTGCCCTCTGCAGGTGGTGGAGAGGTGGAGGGTTCCTGCCTCGTGTGGAGGAGTTCAAGTGTGTCGGGGTTTTGTTCAGACTGAGAGGAGGATGGAGCGTGAGATTGACAGGTGGACAGTCGCTGTATCAGACCGTTGAGGTGAAGAAGGAGCTGAGACGAAAAGGCAAAGCTCCCGATTTACCGTCAGTCTGCGTTCCTCCCCTCACCTGTGGTCCTGGTTTAGTCCTGGTTTAGTCCTGGTTTAGTCCTGGTTTAGATCTCTGGTCCTACCTCACCATGAGTTAGTCTGTGGATTGGCTGGGAGTTCACTTATGGCTACGTTCAGACTGCAGGGCTTGACGCTCAATTCCGATTTTTTTGTGAAATCCGATGTTTTTTCGAGGTCGTTCACATTTCCAATTAAATGTGACTTGTATGTGACTCCAGTAAACGGCCCGAAAGTGTCCCACATGTGACACTGGAGACACGACGACGTCAACCGCAGCGAGCGTCTCTGTGTTTACGGAAGTTGTCCAAACATGGACGCAGCATCGAGCACCTGGAGATTTTAAAGTTCCTCTCGTACCGGAGCCAGAACATGAACAACTTACTTGTTTTAAGGAGGAGATTGAGAAGGAGAAGGACGAGGTTTTTGGTCGTGGTGTTTTGTGGGACAGCGGCAGCGACGTCCGTTGAAAGGAACGTGTGGATGTGGAGACGGAGCCAAGAGTGGTGAGTGGTGATGTGCTTCACTTCAGTGACACAGAGTTCATTAACAATTTTCACCTACTTCAGTGCAGAATAGTGACGTTTGTGTCTTGTTGATAACGTGTAGGTGGATGAATGCACTTTGGCCGTTCAGACTGAAGTCACATGTTAAAGATCAGATATGTATCAGTTTCAGGAGCACATATCCAAGTGTCCTGGGTCACATTTGAAAAAACAGGATCTGTGTTGGTTCAGACTGACATTAAAAGATCAGATACAGGAACATAGAGACCAAAAAATCGGATTTGGGTCACTTCAGGCTGCAGTCTGAACGCAGCTTTATAGAGTTTTCAGGCCGACAGAGAACCGCACCGGTGCCAGTTCCCGCACCTAATCTCGAACCGACTGACGTGTTCAAGCTGAAAATCTGATCATTCAGGAACCGAAAAGTAAAACTTGTTTTTGCCAAGCGAACCGTGATGACAAAGTAGACGTCAGTAGTAGGTAGCAGTATGGTATCCCGCCGTATCAAAAAGTAGCAAAGGTATCAGTTTCATTACCGTCATTAAAAAAATCTGCAGCGCGTAAGGACCTAATATAAAACTGATATTGTCTATAATGTTTCTTTAACTGTGTGGAGAGACGACGTTTTATTAGTTTTGTTTCGTTGTCACATGACGATCATAAGGGAGACCAAGACAAGACGGCAAGTCCAGCCACAAGCGAGTTGGTCCCCAAAAAAAAACATACTAGTGCTTCTACATTTGGCAGCATTTTGGCTTCAGGCACACATTTGTTTATGTTTTACAGAAACAAAACTTAAAACCAAGTGGCTCATTTGTATAAATTATAAAGCATTGATAAAAACAGCTCGTTCAAATGATAAGAAGATTGTGCAGTGGTCAAAGGAGGAGACCAAACATTTGAATATCCATGTTCAAACTGTGAGGTTCCATCTTTGGATTGGGCGTCGCTGTTTCCTTACAGGCCAAAAAATCAGATTTGGGTCACTTCAGGCTGCAGTCTGAACGCAGCCTAAGACTCTTCACACCAAAGAAAAGATTTGGTAGCACCTGTAGGAGCTCACGTACCACAGTTTGAGAAACACTGTTGTGGACCAGTCCTGGACACTTTGCAGATTTCACTTCCATCGTGTGCGTGTCTCACCTGGGCTCTGCATAGTAGTAATAACCGTAGTCGTGGTGATGGTTGTAGTCGTGGTTTCCTCATCTCCGATCGGTTTAAAGTCCGGTCTCTCTTCTCTCTCTCCGTTCGTAGATAAACCGTCTCCGTTGTGGTTCGGCGTCGCGCTGCTGCCCTCCGGTGGCGCCGTGGGGGCCTCGCTGTGGGTGTACGGTCGGGCCGGAGCGCGGCGGAGCTGAGGCGGGCCGCCGTGGAGCGTGTGCCGATTCGGGAGGTTCAGGGGCGGGATCGTGGTCACCTCTGCGCCTCGTCTGATCGGCTCCCGCGTCGGGGGGTACAGACTGGCCCCGCCCTCCTGTGGGACGTCCTCAGAGGTGGACACTGCAAAAAGAGACAGAGAAATGTTTTTTTTAATCCAAGTTTGGAATAAAGAAACTTCCGCACATCGCATCAGGTTTGTGAAGTTGCAGAGTATTGTTTTCAATCACGCTTTTGTATATTTGTGGAAAATTGTGGGAGAATGAGTGTCACAAATCCATTAAACGAACACCTACTGTGCTTGTTTTTACTCTATACTTATAATCTAAGAGAAGGGTCCCCAACCCCCGGACCAGGGACCAGTACCAGGCCGTGGATCGTTTGGTATCGGGCCGTGAAAGTGTGAATTTCCCCTCCCATACGCCGCATGGACCGTCGCTCCTAAACCAGGACTAAACTAAAACTAAAACTAGGACTAAACAAGGTATAAATGAGGTCGAAACCAGGTCTAAACCAAGACTAAACCAGGTCAAAACCAGGTCTAAACCAGAACTAAAACTAGGACTAAACCAGGTCTAAACCAGGTCTAAGACAGGTCTAAAATTAGGACTAAACCAAGACTAAACCAGGTCTAAACCAGAACGAAAACTAGGACTAAACCAGGTCTAAACCAGTTTTAAACCAGGACTTAACCAGGTCGAAACTGGGACTAAACCAGGAGTAAACCAGGTCTAAAACAGAACTAAAACTAGGACTAAACTAGGACTAAACCAAGACTGAACTAGGAGTGCAGGGATTGAGCCAATCACCTCCGCTGATGTTTTTATGTCATAAATACTGGTCCACCGTTCTGGGAAAAGTCCGGGAAACGGCACTTGTTTCCAGGGCGACGAAGCATCTAGTATTTTTCTGATTTTGATTCACCTGCCCCGCCCGTACATAATCACTACTCGCCTGTAAAACTCCAGAACGTTAAAACCCGCCCGTTTCAGCAACTGTTTGCGCATCGATCCAGGACTTTCAGATGGCGGTGTCATTGAAAAAAAAAAAAATCGGGAGCTTTAAAGAATTGCAGTGCGGATCTCTTTCTTTCTTTCTTTTCTTTTTTTTTGCACTATTTTTGTTTTGTTTTTGTTGGTTGTGCGTGTCTCTATCAGTAAGACAAACAACTACAACAGGGTAAAAAGCTCTAAAAAGTCCATTCTGTTTAACGTCTCCTTTAACCACGCCAACATACCACAATAACTGGACATGTATCTCCCTTCTCCTTCTCTTTGTCACAATACTAGTGCATTTTCGTAGCTTGACTCACTTCCAGCTCCGCCCCCTACAGGCCAAAAACACAAACCCGCCGTCACCGCTGCTCTGTATTGTTTCCTGGTTGAATACAGTTTGGACGGGCCCTCGCCGCTGCAGACTCTATCCGCTCTGGCCGGGCTCGGAGACGCCGTGCCAAACTCATTTCCACACAGTTAATGACGGATCGCCGCGCCGTCCAACCCGGAGCGCCGCGCCGCACAACACAACCAGGCCAAAACAGAAGCTAACAGCGCTAAATCTACGGCTCGCCACGCCAAATCTGCACCAGGAACATGCCAACACAACAACTCTGCACTGCCAGGAGCGATTTTCAGGACAATTTAGCAAAAGGTATTTCCAAAATTTATGTGCTATAGCAGAAAGCACTGTTTACACAAAATCTGTCTTTGTAACAGAGAATATTAACGTCTCATACATTGACTCGCGTTGTCAAAAGTGCAGAAACTCAAACACTAATCGATAAAACTTGTATCAGTCCCAGTTTTGAGCCTGTGTCTTCTGTCCCAGCAGATTTATACAAAACCACTGATTTGTCTCAGTTTTATACAAGAAATGTCCTCGATATCCACATTTTTTACCAATCTGATCTAAACCAGGACTAAACTAAAATTAAAACAGAATCAGATTTATTTGTCATTTCAGTATAAAAATACACAGAAACAAAACACTGCACTCAGGTCCAGGTCAACAGCAGCATAAATAATAATAAGAATGAATAATTTAAAATATCGTATATCAAATACAACCAGGTCTACATCAGGTCTAAACCAGGACTAAAACAGCACTAACACAGTTTTTGAATCTGATTCCTGCCAACAGTAAAGAAGAGCATCAATTGTCATTGTTAATTTCACGGGTTCCCAAAGTTGAAAAGAAAAGTATAAAACTACAGAAAGTAGTGCTGAGATGAAAACAAAATCCCTCTATTTATGTCAGACATGTTAAACTCAGGCCCGGGGGCCAAATTTAGCCCCCGATATAATTATATTTGGCCCATGAGATCATATCAAATCTGTTTTAGAGCTGCCCACCGGCTACAGATAAACTACAGAGACATTATTTATTTAAAATGTTGTTATTATTTTATATTCTGCTTGTTCTTGTTTCAGTGTTTAAGCAAAATTATTATTAAACATTTATTTTAATTTAAAAAAATTATGTCTAAGACATAGTCCATAGAAAACTATGGACTATGCCTCTGTGGCCTGGAAACGCCTTGGGATCCCCCCAGAGAAGCAGGAGGAAGTGTCTGGGGTGAGGGAAGTCTGGGAGTCCCTGCTTAGTTTGTTGATAAGCGGAAGAAAATGGATGGATGGATAAATTATTTTTATTTGGAATTAAGGCTCATGTAAATGTGGCAACTGTGGAATATATCTTCAGTTTCATAAAACTGTACTAAAAGCGAGCGTCTCCACAGACCTGACCTGTAACCTGACCTGGTGTGTCTGGCTCGCTTGTCTCCATTGATACAGACACGTTTAATGCCGTACTGTGGGATGTTCCAGGCAGCGCAATCACATCTCCATGGAGACAAGCAGGAGCAGCTCCTCCAGGAAGTATTTTGTTGAAATTGGAAACTGTGTCTCAGGTCACATGGCCCTGACCTGTGGGAGCCTCAGGGGTCAAACCTGGGCCCAGGGTTTCAAATGAGCTACAAGTTTATTACCAACAGCAGCGGCCGGAATGAAATATGATCACACTTGTCGAGTGTCAGAGCTCGAGTGAGAGACAAGACCGAGTCCAAACACGAGTCCGAGACGAGACACGGTGATCTACCCACACGACCTCGGCGATCGACTGGTAGATCGCGATCGACGTATTGATCACCCCTGCCATAAGGTGAGTGGAAAGAGTTAACATTTTATATTTAGTCCTAAAAGTCTGATCAGTTCTACACATGTAGGTGCTGTAAAGTCATGGAAAATTCACTTTAGGTCATGAAAAAGTCATGGAAAAGTTTTGAAATTTTGACAGTGGCACATGACGTTTGTCCAGTCCCTTGATCGTCTCTGGTCTCTGGAGAGGGGGGAGAGAGAAGGAGAGGGGGAGGGAATAGAGAACAAGAAAGAGAGGGAGAGAGAGAGAGAGAGAAGGAGAGGGAAGGAGAGAGAGATAGGGAGTGAAGGAGGAGAGAAGGAGACGGGGAGAGAGAGGGAGGGAGGAAAGGAGAGAGGGAGGAGAGAAGGAGGGAGAGAAGCAGAGGAAACGGGAGAGAGATTGAGAGAGGGAAGGATGGAGAGAGACAGAGAGGAAGAGAGAGAAAGGGAGGAAGTGACGGGGAGAGGAGAAAGGGACAGAGAGTTTCTCTCTCTCTCTCTCTCTCTCTCTCTCTCTCTCTCTCTCTCTCTGTCTGTCTCTCTCTCCTCTCCTTTCTGTCTCTCTCTCTCTCTCCTTTGTGTCTCTCTCTCTCTCCTTTATGTCTCTCTCTCTCTCTCTCTCTCTCTCTCTCCTTTCTGTTTCTCTCTTTCTCCTTTCTCTCTCTCTCTCTCTCTCTCTCTCTCTCTCTCTCTCTCTCTCCTCTGTCTCTCTCTCCTTCTCTTTCTCTGCTTCTCTCTCTCTCCTTTCTCTCTCTCTCTCTCTCTCTCTCTCTCTCTCTCTCTCCTTTCTGTTTCTCTTTGTCTCTCTCCACTTTGTCTCCCTCTCCTTTCTATTTCTCTCCTCTCCCTCTTTCTTCCTCTCTCTACCTCTGTCTCCTCTTTTCTCACCACTTTCTCTCTCTCTCTTTGTCTCTTTCTGTCTCTCTCCTCTCCCTTTCTTCCTCTCTCTGTCTCTGTCACTTCTCTCTTTCTCTCTCTCCCCGTCTGTTTCCCTAGTTTCCCTCTCTCCACTTCCTCTCTCTCTCCCTCTCCTCTCTTTCTCTATATTCCCGTCTCCTCTCTTTCTGTTTCTCTCCTTCCCCTCGCTCTCCTCTCTCTTCATCTCTCTCCTCTTGTCCTTCTTTCTTCATCTTTTCTTCTCTCTTTTTCTATCTCCTTCCATCCCTCCTTTTCTCCCCTCACCTCTCCGTGTTCTCTCTCTTCTTAACTGATTGTTTATCTCCGTGTTTTTATTGTTGAGATACACTGATGTATTTACCCTTGTGTAGACGAGTTTAATGCTTCACTGCGGAACATTCCAGGCAAAGTGCATCTTTAAATATAATCGTATATTTTTAACGACAGATAAAAGTGTAAAGAGAGAGAGAGAGAGAGAGTTTTTATCTGCTGCAGCTGCAGAGAGTCTCCGTTTAACTCAAATATAAACGACGTAAAAACACAAACTGTATCTCAACACAGGAGAGAGAGAACGAGGGAGGAGAGGGGAGGAAGGGAGGAGAGGAGAGAGACGAAGGAAAGAGAGAGAGAAGGAGAGAGGAGAAGGTTAGGAGAGGAGAGAGAGAGCGAGGGGGGAGAGGAAAGAGAGGGAGGAGAGGAGAGGGAGAGAGAGGAGATTGAGGAAGGAGAGGAGGGTGGAGAGAAGGGGTGAGGAGAGAGGAGAGGAGATGAGAGAGAGAGATCGGGGAAGGAGAGGAGAGGGAGGGGAGGAGAGAGAAAGAGAAGGACTGAGAAGTGAGAGAAAGAGAGAAGAAGGATCGAGAAGAGAGAGAGAGAGAGAAGGACTGAGAAGAGAGAGAGGATTGAGAAGAAAGAGAGAGAGAGAGATGGAGGGAGGAGAGCATGAGGGGGAGAAAGACAAGGATTGAGAAGAGAGAGAGAGAAGAGATTGAGAAGAGAGAGAGAAAGGATTGAGAAGAAAAGAGAGAGAGAGAGAGAGAAGGATTGAGAAGAAAGAGAGAGAGAAAGGATTGAGAAGAGAGAGGGAGAGAAAGATTGAGAAAAGAGAGACAGAGAGAGAAAAATTGAGAAGAGAGAGAGAAAAGGATTGAGAGAGAGAGAGAGAGAGAGAGAGAGAGAAGGATTGAGAAGAAAGAGAGAGAGAAAGGGATTGAGAAGAAAGAGAGAGAGAAGGATTGAGAAGAAAGACAGAGAGAGAGAGAGAAATGAGAGAAGAGAGAGAGAGAAGAGAAGAGAGAGAAAGAGAGAGAGAGAGAGAAGGATTGAGAAGAGAGAGAGAGAGAAAGATTGAGAAAAGAGAGACAGAGAGAGAAAAATTGAGAAGAGAGAGAGAGA